CTTGTTTGTTACCACCATGTCGAGACAAATCTTCTTGGAAACATTAGCTCAAACCTTCAGCTTATGCCCAAGCTTGCACCATAACTTGTTTCACCTTCTGTCTTAACCGATCCGTTAACGTTCTAACACAACCCGTCTCAGAAAAAAAAAACATCAAACATATCAGCCATGTTTCAATAACCTGAGACAACCTTGCAGCTACAGATTCATTGACGACAATCATCAAATGTAGATGCTCGGATCTTCCTCTCAACTTGATATAATTTTGAGTGCCCACAGATTCTTCTTGCGATTGCAGATCATTACCAATACCAGAACCCTTTGATGCCTCAACAGACTTGCTTCTGTTACACCAAAATCACTGATCTGAATCCTCTATTACCCAAAGCCTCTGACCTGAATCACAGTCCTCTGCACAACTGAATTCCAAACCATCACTTCTGTCCCAACCATAACAGCCATTAACTTAAGAATTCTTTCTTCCAAGGCGTCCCCCAGTCAAAAGAATTCCAAGCTACCAACAGCTTAACTTTCCTCCTCATGTAATCACCATACACAGCACACTTGAACAGAAACGAAGACATCTTGAGAAACCCATGACTGAACCCAAGACCTTGAGAAAACCACAGACCATACTCAACTGAAGATCTCTTGAGAAAACCACTGCTCATACAGAACCGAAGACCTCTTGAATACTGAACCGAAGACCACTTCAGAAAACCACAGCCTTAAACTGAACCGAAGACATCTTCAGATAACCACAGACTCATGTCTTCTTTTTACTCATTTTCTCGCTATTAACTCCATGAATCAAAACTTTGGCTCTGATACCAATCTGTTGAGTTTTCGGTAAATCTAAACTCACTTCCAGCCATCAAGATTCATGTGAGTAATAAACTAAATGAGAAAATAACAAAATTGACACAAGAATTGTTCACCCAGTGTTCACCTCCTCTTCCCAATGTGGAAAGAGAGCTATACATCACCGGGGAGGGAGACTGTGTCCCTCAACTGCATCCACTATGAAAATCTCATCAGTGTACATGATTGTTCACATCTCACTAACTAACTCAGATACACACCATAACCTGAGCTATACAAGTGTTACACACTATTCAAGCAACTCAAGAACATAGTATGAGTGCCACAAAGGTATGAAATGATCTTCCCTTAGCCACTGAAGACTTCACCAAATCTGTCTCTGCATAATACTGTCTCAGCATCAGAAACCAGAGCAGAGACTACCTCAGAACCTGCTTCAGACTTGAGTCTTCTTGTTCTTTGAAATGGGAAAATAATAAAAGAAGGAAATTTTCAGAAATTCATGATTGCAACCTAACAAATATTTGATATCCTATGAAACATTTAATCAGTAATTTATTTTCAATCCAACAAAAAAAATGAGATCAATAGTAAAACACAAAATATTAGACCTTGGCATGAAAAACAAGAAATAATCTGAACCTAAATCAAATGGATATTCAATATCCAAAATATGATTTATATACCTAAAGATATTAATTATATTTAATTTAAATTATTCTAAATTTACTAGTTATAAACCAAACTATAAAGAAAAAGAATTACCCAAATATTTTTTTATCCAAAATGTTTCCAAATTACCCAAATTTAAGGACCAAATATTCAAAATATTTACTGTTATCCAAATTATATGATATTATATCTGCAAAAAGAATCTGCAAATCTTAATTTTTACCCAAATTATCCAAAACTCTTAAAAAGCAAAACTGAACCGGACCCATAATTTTATTTTATATTAGTTGGTTCTTAACATTATTATCAAGACCTAAATACCAAAATAACTAAACCAAAATCAAACTAAAATTTATAATAACCAAATGATTACAATATATATTTACCAAAATAACTAAACCAAAATCAAACTAAAATTTATAATAACCAAATGATTACAATATATATTTGGATTTTGGAACCTAAAATCGGAACACCAACATTGATATAAAAAGTAGGGGAGTTCAATCTCGTAAACCGAACAATTGAACGGAATCAAAATAGAAAAAATAATTGGATTTAATATGTCCAAATAAATCAAATGGACGTTATTTTGAGCGTTATTTTGATGTGGACGTTATTTTGAGGTTTGATGTTATCTTGAAAAACTTCAATATATGGATATAGTTTAGTATATAAACTGATTAAACTGAAAAATATTGATTAATTAAAATATAGTAATCAAATTATACGTAAATTATATCATATAATTGATAACATATACATAATTTATCTTATGAATATGATTTTCATATTTAAAATGCTGACTTTAGTAATCTATTAGTTTGATTTAAGTTAAGAATTAATTTTCATATTTATCAAATTAAAGAAAATATATTTTAATATATATTCCATATTTAGTTATTTAATAATAATTTCATATTACTATTTTTCGTTTTTGTTTATAAAGTTATTGTTATTATTAACTTAAGATGTTTACTAATTATTTTGAATAGTAAAGTAAAATAGAAAAAATATTCTATTTTAACATTGAAATATATTTATGTTTAATAATGTCGATATCTAATTTTTTTTTTATAAAATATAAATACATTTATAGTTTTTGATATAAAACCAAATAAACCAAAAACCGACGGACAGAATCAAACCAAAATAAACGGAGTTTTAGTATAGTACCTATTTTTAAAACCGAAATAACCGAAAAAATGAAGCGAAACCAAATGGACACTTAAACAGAAAACATCAAAAACCAAAAAAATGAAAAAAGAATTCGGCCAAAAAAAAACACGAACTTTGCACGAATTGCCAAAAGAAAGCTGAACTTTTGGCCTGACCCAAAAAAACATAAACTTTTTATTGACTTTAGAATTAATTAACAATGTTTTCGTTGACTTGCCAATTTGGCACGCCGTCAACAAATTTAACAGAAAAAATTAACGTTGTTAAATGTTGCCGTTAGGATGAAACGACGTCGTTTTAAGCGATTTGAAAATAAAAAGTCGTAGACCACTGGACTCGAACCCGACCACTGGCTCGAACCCGGGTTGATTGAAACAAATTGCAAGGTAGTATACCACTGGGCTAGTGGCACATTCAATGTACATACTAACACATTTACTTATATTTGATACTTATTGAATATAAAAAAAAAATTCTATAAAAACTTTAAAAAATATTTAAAAATTCAAAAAAATGAAAAAATAAAGAGTTTTTTTATAAAATTAACTTTGAAATTAAAATAAATTTTTTTTTTCTTTAAAAAAATCAGACGGAAACTCTTAAAATTTTATTTTTCTTTCAATGTATCTACTAACACATTTACTTATATTTGGTACTGATTGAATATAAAAAAAATTCTATAAAAACTTTCAAAAATCTTTAAAATTGCAAAAAAATGAAAAAATAAAGAGTTTTTTTATAAAATTAATTTTGAAATTAAAATTAAAATAAAATTTTATTTTCTTTAAAAAAATCAAAAATCTTCTAAAATTTTAGTTTAAAGAAAAAATAAAATTTATTTTAATTTTATAAAAAAATCTTTATTTTTTCATTTTTTTGAAATTTTAAAGTTTTTATAGATTTTTTTTATATTCAGTCAGTACCAAATATAAGTAAATGTGTTAATAGATACATTAAAAGAAAAATAAAATTTATAAGTTCCCGTCTGATTTTTTAAAGAAATATAAATTTTTATTTTAATTTTAATTTCAAAATTAATTTTATAAAAAAATTCTTTATTTTTCATTTGTTTTGAAATTTTAAAGATTTTTCAAGTTTTTATAGAATTTTTTAATATTCAATCAATACCAAATATAAGTAAATGTATTAGTAGATACATTGAATGTGCCATTAGCCTAGTGGTAAACTACCTAGCCACTTGATTCAAACAACCCGGGTTCGAATCCAGCGGTCTATGTCTTTTTATTTTCAAATAGCTTGAAACGACGTCATTTCATCTCAGTTGAAAACGACGTCGTTTCATCCTAACGGCAACAATTAACGTCGAGTTAACACCGTCTTAACTATTCGTTAACGGTGTTTTAAAATGGCGAGTCAATCGTAAGTTTCTTAATAAATTAATAAAGTCAACAAAAGTTCAGGTTTTTTTTTGGCCAGACTCGAGTACATTTTAAAATGGCGAGTCAATCGTAAGTTTCTTAATAAACTAATAAAGTCAACAAAAGTTCAGGTTTTTTTTGGCCAGACTCGAGTACATGTTTCTTTTGGTCATTCGTGCAAAATTGATGATATTTTTGGCCGAATTCTCAAAATGAAAATGTATTTCTGACATTTTATTCACGTTGCATCAATACCCACCCAAACTATCGAAAAATGATTTTACAGAACTATCCTTCAGTTTTTGGCCACGAAACTCAAGTTTTTTTTTTTTTTTTTTTTAAACAAAGATATAAAAAGATAATGTCAATTTTATGCAAATATTTCCTCTTCTGATCACCAACCTTCAAACTGTGGAAACTTGAATTTTTTTTGGAAAACCACAACAACAAAATAATACACAATAAAAGTATATATTAAGGTACCGCCTGCCTCTGTATAAGACCCTTTTATTATAGTTGCAATGATCTCATTCAGGATTTCAGGTTCTGGTCCTGTATAGCCTATTAATAATATATTTTTATGATTAAAAGGCTCATCGATTTGCTTCTCCTGGTATGATATGAAGGAGTCTCTCTCACATATATTATACCCACATTGAAGGTAATAAAACCATACAAATGTCGATGTATGAAAGTATGGCACCATTGCGTAGTACTCCAAGGATCAAAACATTACTTTACATTCGCTTTGAAAAAGGGGAAAAAAAAAAACTAAAATAACAATTTTGAAAGCATACACTCATGTTATTATTACACATTACGTTACAACACAAGCATGGAGAAAAAGTACGGAGAAAAAGTACGGAGAAAACGAAGAAAAGAGATCAAAGAAAAGAGATCAAACGATGGATGACATTTGACTGGAAATAGTTTTATCTTACATTAATTTTAAGAAGATGCTTGTTGGTGTTGCTGATGGACTCCAATGTTGTGCTGCCCATACTTGGTATCATGCCCTCTACTTCCCACCTTCATTCGAGCACTCTCTATCTTCTGATCTGACCCAGACCCCGTCATGTGCCTAAACACATTCACCATATAAATACATTATTTCTCCAATATTCAAACTCTTTACATAAGTAGCGTGAAGAGCAAGGTAGATTTAAAAACATTGGTCACAGTTTTGTGTTTTATGTCGTCATCTTTATATACTACCTGTATAGCCAAGAGAAGGCGGTGATGGCGGCAATACCAAACCCACCGGAGGCGAGGAACCCAGTGATGATGAGAACCACGGTGATCACGGCTGGGACCAAGACAGGGCTGAATATAATAAGAAGAGGAGTGGCTACAGCGAGTGCTATCACTGTACCGGCCAGTGTTAGGCCGGAGAGGACTAGGAGGGATCCACCGGCTGCGACCCCAGTCGCTACCTTCACCATCTGCCCCCCTTTCTTCGGATGGTCTCTGTCTAGGGTACTTCTACTGTCTCGGATTATTATGTCTTGATGGGTTCTTGTTTGATCCGCCATTGAATCTTGTTATGATCTCTCCAGCACAAAATAGTAGAAATTAGCAGAGGAAGATCAGATAGTAATATATTGGGCGTGAGCAATGTGATATATGAATGGAGATGGGATAGAAAGCTGGTGAGTCCCTTTGCTTGACCGTTCCACGTGTTGGGAATATTTTCATGCAGCCGTAGCATCTGTAAAAAGTGGGCTCTCTTTTGCGACACGTACTTTTGTGTTTTAAAGTAGTTTGTCGTCGGCGTAAATAAGACCAATCGGAACACAGAGGTATCGGATCATTATAGTTATGGGCTTGATCTTTACCTAAAAATACAAGTTCGGAATCAGTCCAATTTAGCTAGCCCACAGATAGTAGCAGAAATGGACTACTAGTTCGTTGCCTCTAAGAGCAAAGGGCCTGAATGTTCGAAATTCGATTCTTTGATTGTCATTTGATCGTGGTTAAAAGAAAATGATAAGCTCAAGTTATTAAAGTTTAGCTTACAAAAAAAAAGTTATTAAAGTTTAGATGACAAATCATAATAACTTGGAGTTTCCGGCAGAGGTGGACCCACGTGGTTAATAGGGTTGTCAGCTGACATCCCTTAAAACTTATAAATTCTAATTTTAGGAATGAGTTGTTCAAATATAGACAACGTGTTTGGTTAAAAGCCTTCAAGATGACACCCCTATCCCATGTTCAAATCCCCTCTGCTGCACAATTTTATTTTATTTTATATGGGTTTTAGATCCATTTTACTTTGTTTTTGATGTATAAGAGCACCCCCCATCAAAGGATGATGGGAGAGGTTCACACACAGTCCAAAAAAAAAAAATATAAAATAATACAAAAACTATGAACCCATGTTGCAGGGGTTCACTGCCATGAATCCGGATCACCACTGTTTCGTAGACCTCACGCCACGTGGCGGTCCACGATTAATCAGTTTAATTTAAAAAAAAAATCAAACGAAATACAAAAAAATAATAATAAAAAGTTTAGTTGGTGAATCCTAATTGGAGGTTCATTAATGCTGATGTTCTAAGAACACTCCCATCAAGGAATGATAGGGGGGAGTTCACACGCAAACCAAAAAAATAATATTAAAATCAAATTTCTAGGAACCCCTCTCTCAAAAGTTCATTGCGGTGAACCCCAATGACTCCGGATTCACCACGTGTCAGTCTCTGATTGGTCCATTATTAATTTTTTTTTAAATAAACGAAAAAAAATTATTTTTTTATTTGTGTGAATCTCTTGGGAGAGATTCACTGATGTGGATGCTCTAAGGCTTAGAAAAATAGTTTTAGTTGTTAAAATTATTACTTTAACTTATGACCTAGATAAAAAAAGTTGTGGGTCCGCCATTGGTCTCTGGTCCTGCTCACCTAGAATGTCTTGTGAATATTTAGATAATTGTGATGTAATAATGTAAATGTAACGCCATATCAAAATCAAATGACGAAAGAAAAGCTGTCAAACTATCGAAACATCCTTCAGCCCTAACTCCTAATCTTTTTTTAGATTGGCAAACAGATTTCTAAACCACCGGCATCTTCTTCTTGGCAATATTTGCGATCGAACAAACATTCTAGTAAACACGAACAGTTATTGTATATCCCAAAAACAGAAATCATACGATAAAGTCGTTATAACAAGACTTATTCCTAACTACCAAATAATTAACGGAAAATAGGAACTTTTCGTTAGTCGACCAAGTTCTATATGCCGTCGCAAAAACATCTCTAAGTCCACAAACGTTTTAAACAGAAGTGCAGCATACATATTCGAGAGAGTTTTCTGCGTTTAGTGATTAAGTGCAGTTGTGAAACGCTACAAAATCAAACGTCGCAAACCTATTGTATTTCTTATTTATTTTCAGCTTTGGTTTGTGAGAGTATTAGAACACTTCTATTGGTGGATTCTTTTTTCCCAAAATACCTTCGCAAAATAATGATTACAAATCAGAAAATAGGAGACATGAACAAATACTTAAGAACGAGTATCTCAAATGAGTTTTAAAAACCTCTTAAGATACTATAAAGATACATAATCACTCATTTTGTTTTTTAAAAAATAAAAGATAAACACAATAATAGTAACTATAAAAATAAGATACTCAAACGAACATCCCACCATTAAGGTTTCTCTTAAAACTTTTCCAGCGACTAAAATTTAATAAGTATTAGAATTTAACACATATGTTCGTACGGATATTTTTTATTTAATAAAAATACTAGATTTTGATCCGGACTTTACAAGCAAAGGATTGATTTTTGTTTGTTAACAAATTAATTAAGTAAAATTAAAAATTTTAAAAAATTTAAATATTGTAATTTCCAGTGTGCATAATTTTTTGTTGTCAAATAGAAAAATATATACATCTTGACTGGTCTACTACTACTACTATTATTATTATTATATTCTTTTTATAAAACATGTTATGTAATTATATTGTAATTGTTTTCTTATATGTAGACTTAAAAAAAAAAGAATTTAAACCATTTTATCCAGAACAATTTTTAACAATGAGAATATCTATTCATGGCTTCTCTCTAAGCATTTTTTTTCCGGCCAATTTTCTAAAATGAAAAAGAAACAAAGCTTAGAAACTAAGTGACACAAGCAGTTAGGTATTTCCATTGCATCTCTTGTCAATTAAAATAATTTCGATGTACGGGGTTGTGTTATGCATTTGTAACCTGAATAAGCAGTACCATTATAGGGTAACGACTATTCTATGTGTAGGTTTCACATCTAAACTAAAATAAACGAAATCAATCACTTGGTGATAAATGTTCATCATTACTGTCTCCAAATATTTGGATTGAACATGTTTCCTATGAAACAGTCAAAATCAAGATCTACCAAGTGGGAAGATAACTATCAATTAAACAATCATATACTTTGTGTCCAAGCATAGCCATATCGTTATGAGGATTTTTAAATTTTGTTTTATATACTCTCTTCTCTGATTTTTTCTTTTTCTTATAATTAAATTGTTAATTTTGGTACTCATTCTTTAACCACGTAAGTAGTTTTGGTAACACATTATTTATAATACTCACTCTTCAAAGGTATGCTTTAAAATATTCCTATGTTATTTTTCCAAAATACATTTTCAATATAAAGTTTACCACTCTTTGGAAAAGCATCAGTGAGCATCATCATCTCGTATGTAAGCTCCTGATCATGTTCAATTCTTTCCAGAGCCAATACTACCTGAAAGATTTTCAAAATAGTGATATCACAACCTAGACACATGTCAAAGCTTCTAATGAAATCAGACAACAATGTGAAGGAAACTACAACTGCAATTTTATTGACTGTACCTCTTTGAGTCTGTTGGTGTGGAAGTGATGTAGCGGATAGATAGGTTGAACGGTCGATCTAAGAATTTAGGGTTCTTCGAGACTTGTTCTTGGATCGATCAAGAATTACTTTCGTTAGCTTCTTGAGACCAACTTCCTGAAGAAGATGAATTTAATCGAATCTTGTTCAAGGCAACTTAAAATAGATGAATTGAATCAAATCTATATCAAGGTATAAAGCAAAGCTTCTTTTATTAATTATCAAAGTCTCAATACAACTCTAGGTATAAGAAGCCTATATATATGAAAACCATAAAACCCTAAAACAATAAAGATAATTATCTAAAATAACTAATAAAATAAATAATAAATATTTGGAAATATCTCAAATATTTATCTACATCAGGAAGGATGGGCTCCACTACAGCTGGAGCATCATGAATATTGCTTATGTCTGGAAACTCTGTATCCAAATTTGATGCAAACTGTCTATTGGCACCTTTGGCCGGATTTTCAAGTCTCCAAATCCACTCGGAGATGAACTCCCACCAATTTCCTTTCCATCAGAGGAGGCACAAAACCAAATTAAATCTGCAACACATAACCACAAAGGAATTGGGAGACGAAAACGAAAATCTCCACCTCCAGATTCTCTCGTATTCGTCACGATCTCACCAACGGAATCTTTTAACCGCTCGTTGACATTTTTAAATACAGTTATGATATTTGAATACTAAAAAATTTCCTATAGCAACCATGACACTACATTAAATTATTTAATCCCACAAGAACACGAGAAAGTACCTCATCGCGCACCCATCCTCCGGCCACTTGTAGCTGCGTGTTGAGGTTGCAAAACTGAAGAGAACGGAAAAGCCAGTCACGACTGTGCCACTCTTTCTCAGGGAGATTAATCTTCTCCTCCAACTTGATTGAGAACTTTGACTGCTTTGCTTCCTCTCTTAGCAAGAGAATCAGCAGCGACCATGACAAAAAAAATCCTACAACTGCACAACTTCATTCTGAAATCCATACAAAATCCAAAATCAACCACCCACACTACTTAGCTTATGAACACAGAATTTCATCAAAAAAATAAGAAACTCACTTCTATTGTGCACGGAAGATCAAAGGAGGGGCACAGTAGAAAACAACAACCATATCGTTGCAATAGCCAAAGCCAATAGCAGGCCTGAAGATCACGAACCTAACCCTACGTAATCATTGAAACCTCAGATGGAGATAAAAATAAGTGCTTGCCGAAATTTAAGTAGGTCTAATATATGGGTTTTTTTCTTTGCCCATTTTATCCTTAATGAAATACTATTGGTTTGTAGGCTTGGTGATGATGGCACAAAAAGTAATATCTCATGGAAATCTAAGAGTAAATCTAAAAAAGTGATTCTGATTTAATAATATAGATAATTTGATATTACAGTAAATATAATTTTAATATTATCATTTTGAATATGATAGTGTATTTTCATAATCGTATATTTGGTTAAAATAAATTTGAAAAATTACACAATTATTTTTAAGTTAGAAACACATATGACTTGTGATTTGTTTTTGGTTACTAAGTTAAAATATGAAAGCACATTTTTAAAATAAAATAGGGTCACTACAAGAAAACAATTTTTTTACTAGGCCTATATTCGTGGTTAATTCGTCGTAATAGGACCTTTACGACGAATTAACTAGGAAAGCCG